AGAATTAACAAGAAGAAAAAGAAAGTAATTTTTGAAGAAGAATCTTCTAGCGATAAAGAAATACCTGTAAAGAAAACTACTAAAAAGAAAGAAGAACCAAAAGAAGACCTGATGGAACAATTAGTAAAACAATTTGAAGAATTGAAAATTAAAATAGTAAAGATTGAAAGATCTCAAAATAATAGTATTGAATGTTACAATTGTGGAAAGAGAGGTCACTTTAAAAAGGACTGTAGAAGTTCAAGAAGAAATAACAATGATAATTATGGATTTAACAATGGTAATAATAATTTTAGCAGAAATACTTATCAAAATAATAATACAAATAATAATAATCAACAAGAAAATAGAACAAATCAAAATGAAAATGGAAGAAGGAACAATAATCAATACAATAACAGAAATCAATATAATAACAGAAATCAATACAATAACAGAAATCAGAATCAAGATAATAATAATCAAAATAACACCCCTATTAATTTTATAAGTATTGAAGAAACTGATGAATATAATACCGATAAAGAAACAGAAGAAATTACATCACTATTAAATGAAAACTTTGACAGTTTTGGAAATTTAAAAAGAAGAACTGTAGAACCAGAAGTAATTTATGATTATAAAACTGATCCAAAAAGAAAAAGGAGAGAGAATAAAAATCTTGGACCAGAACCAATGGAATGGTCACCAAATAAAAATAAAAAGAAAACAATAAAATCTCCTGAAAAGCTATATAAAGAAAGAAAACAACCAGAATTATTGAAAGGATCTGAATTCAACTTAATAAAGAAACTACAAGAACAAAAATTAGAAATTACATTACTACAATTATTAAAAATTAGTTCACAAGAAAGAAAGAAATTGTTAAAATCCTTTCTTTGTTCTAATTTTAATTCTCCTACTTTAAATTCTTCAGGTTTTACAACATATCTATCTGATGATGATTCTCTTATTTCTAGTTCCTCTTCCAAATCACTTTCTTCATCATCTATCTCATCCAAGTGTGGTCAATCCTGTTTTGATTTATAATTTCTCTGAAAAAGAACTTGTTCTTCTTCATCATCACTTTCATAATCATTATTACTTTCATAATTATCTTCTGCTTGTTTATATGTTGCTATAGTCTTGATACTTTGATTTGATTTTTCCAGTCATAATTAGCTCCTGCTTTCATCATCTAATCATTTCCTAATAATATATGGTATACTTCAGTTTTCATTACTTCTACATTAATTGGTATTGTTTTTCCTTCAATCTCAATGGGAAAATCTCTAATTCTTCCTAAAGATTCATTCTTTTCTCCATTTACTAATATAATTTTACAATTAGTTGCTTCTTCTATATCATATTGTAATTGTTCTATTGTTTTTTCTGAAATTATGCTAGTGGCTGCTTCACTATCAATAGTAGCTGGTACTCTAAATCCATTCACTATTACTTCACATTCCAGAGTGGTTGTTTTTGTATTATTATTTTGACTTGCTAATTTTACA